ACCCCTTTATAACCAAACCCCTTTATAACCACACCCACTACCGTTCAGCTTTTTGCGGCTGCATGATGTATATTTCAACGTTTGATAAAAAGGCATTGTTTACGCATGTTCCAATAGTATAATTCAAGATTTTGTTTGAGTATGTACTATTTTGGTGCACGTACACTGTACACTCTACGAATACCATACGCATGTACGGGTAAGATATGGTATGCGGAATACATATCACAATTTAAAATAAATCCAAAAATTTGTTTACAAAAAAATAATATTAGAGGTGTGGCGAGCTTTTGGTCAAGAGTATATTCCTCTATACACCACACACTCTAATACAATCACCGGTACGCACAGTACAGAAAGGTCAACCCGGAAACTTGGCGACGTCACATATCTAGTATGGAGACCGAAAGATGACCACTGACATTTAAATCGGAGTACAGATAAGATCGGGCTTGTGTTTTTCTTATCGAGCCATCTGGCTGAGATTTCGTTCAGAAAAAAGACAAAAATAAAACTTCAATGAACAGCTGAGAGAGTAAACACATCTTTGTTGTAACAGCACCTTAGTATTTCTGTACCGACACGGAAAGAGTGAAATTTCACGGCTAGGTGACAGTGCCGGATATCGTGGCCATTTAACCCATTATTCAGTATTGGCGTGCTGCCTGTCACAGTGCAGGGTGAGAAGAGATGCAATTGTTCAAAACGCATCATCGTGCAACCACAGGTGTCCATGAACGCGAAGGTGAACAAAAGCTACAAATGACGGGACATATAATCTGCCGAAAGCAACGCAAGCTTTGGCAACTCGTACATATAATTATATATATGATTATACACTACCTTTGCCTTGTGGTAAATAAATATGTCATGTTGCTGTTGGAAAAGGGGAGTGGGTGGAGTGGAGCTAGTTTAGACTCACCTCTTTTTTTTTCAAGTTAATAAAATATGTAAAGTTTATCCAAAAAATAGGCCGATTTTCAATAGAAATGCCTCAAAGGATAATGCGAGTAAATGCACTCTACTGGATATAATTTATTAGTGCGTGTTCCTATGCCATAAACGTGTTTGGTGCGTATTTATTTATTTATTTTATTTTTATTTATTTATTTTTTTGTGTGTATTATTAGAGTTGCTACCAGTATTTGTAGAGATTAAAAGCCATTGATCCCAAAATGGTGAATAAAAATAAATAAAAAATATGAGCTTAAGATCCAGGACCGTAATGAGAGGCTTTAAGCTGCACCTCCTTCAATTCTTTTTCTTCAACTGCATGTCAACTTGACCTACTTATTTCCCCTCCATTCCGTAAGGTGCAGAAATTGTAAGCAGATTATATCTGTGGAAACATCTTTTTTAGGGAATCAAATGTCATTAAACTCTATGGAAATCCTTAACGTTATCCTATTCGAAACTTTTAGGTGGCGTTTGGTCGGTTTTAGCGACAATAATTGGACAAAAGTACTCGCTTAATATGCATCAGTCATTGTACCGGAACAAAATAACATTAAAAAAAAAATAAAAAGTGAACTGAACCATTTAAATTTAATATTTATAAAATAAAGAATATAGTTCTAATAAAACCATATATTTTTTTTTTTAATTTGTGAAGATTTTTTTGTAAAATAAGATTTATGCCCGTATTTCGCATACACGACTGGCGGTCCACCATTCCACGCCATAGTAGGTTGTGGTGGATGTTGATAAGGGTAGATAGAATTTAGGTCGATGGCGTTTGGGCACTTTTTTATCGTGCTCAATAGAGAATTGCTGATTAAAAGTAAAATTTGGCGTACATAAAGAAATCATTTTACGCCTATGTGCTGCACACAAGCAGTCAGTTGGTGTACTTGACGCCATTCGCACTGTTTTTATGATAGCTGTTGCAAATCGTAAAACAAGTCCATGAAAAATTCACCAAACACCTCTACTTCGCTTCCAATTTCATGTTAAAAGATAAAAGTCGCAATTAAAAAAAAACGATGAATTGCTTTTTTGTCGCATTAAAGAGTCACATATTGATCGCATTTATGAATATTTTTTTAGTCAAACACCCTGGGTTGATTATAAGAACTGATTTCAATCGTTGAAACTAACAAATTTTTTCAGACACGTAAAATTCCAATTTTTACTCGTTTCGGTAATCGTTAGTCATTATAAAGGCGATAAACGCACTTGAAAAGAAGCGGCAATGACTACAACTTAAACTTGTATACTCAATACAAGAAATTATAAGCGGCTCCAGTGCTCACTGATCGTAATTTACCATCTGCAAATTAATTTTTCTAGTTAAGATTTACAATGTGGATTTATTTTTAGTTACAATGTCTTATTTTAACTCACTGCAGTAATTAGGACTCACCGTAGGCAATGAAAAACAATCAAAGGGTGTTGCAAGACAATACATTCATTTTGCGGTGAAGAGGCAAAGTTGACACCGAAAGTCGAATACATGGCTCGTTAAATAACTCTTTAAACATTTTACATGTTACCCAAGCACACGTGGTTTGCTGGTTTGTTATCCAATATGAGCGTCAGAAAAAACTTTTTGCGGCTACATATACCTGTGAACATACAGTTGGCAAACAACTTGATTGATAGCTTAGACGAGCTTAGATAACAAACAACAGCCAAAGATATACTCAGACCAACTTCGGTGGACGCAGGTTAGTAATTGACATTTTCGTCACGGGGCTGCCACTGCGTGAAAAAGGCCATTATTATTATTATTATAAATACTGTGCCATAGGGTATGGCATGAGATAACAATCGGTCAATTTTATTGATGAGCAAGCAATGGGGTGCAGTGCTGACGACCAGTACCAGTACATGTGTCCTATTGAAGGGGGGGGGGGGTGTTCGATTTACTTAAAGCGTGTACATTTTATCATGAAAATTCATTCAGGGGGTGGGGTGGGGGTGGGGGGTGGACCGAACCCCCGAACCCCCCTCCCCTTGATCGACCACTGCTTACTCATGTATTGTGTCGTGCCATTAATATAGATATCATTTTTGCGAAATGTTACCTACATCGTAAAATTCTAGAAGTCTCTTTACAACTACTTGCACAGCCAGAGGTACCCCATCCATTACCTTGTAAGATGTTTTTGAAATGTTGTTTTCTTACTACTCTTAAAGAGGACCATATCACTGGAGTGAAAAGGCAAGGCAGTGACTATTAATACGGAAGAGACAGAATGGGCCTGTGAGGTTTGGTCTAAACAAGGAAGTAGATGGCCTGTAGATAGAATATCTACTGCCCCGATCGAGACACCTCACCAACTAGATGGTTTATTTTGATTCCACGCAGGATTACACCTCTCCCTTTGAACATAAAAAATGAAGATTGTTTTCACAAGAGAAAAATATCTTTTCATGATAATGATGTGTTGTTCTTAATATTACACACATTTAGGAAACTATATTTCCAAAAAAAAATTGATTTTGTCGTAGAAAATGAGGAAACCCGAGGGTCTGCTGCTTAGCTAGGTGCAGTTGTCTCAAAATATTAAGTTATTCACTTTCCATTTGTCACGCTCTATAATTTGTCACATTCTATAATTTTAGCATTTCACTGGTTAGCCACATACAGTACATCGGCAGTAAGCGCCCAAGCGTAATTAAGGCAGTTTTCGATACGAGCGGTGTGTTTTTACTGTTCTAGACTGGTTCGGCTGTTTTTTTTTTTTTTTTTTTTTGACACTTCTGAGCACGTAATTACGCTACGGGCTTAGGGCTGGGGCTGGGAGTGGCGCTGGTGAGGGTGGGGGTGGGTGGGTTTGGTGGGGTGGGCGGGGCTCCACGGTCCTCCGCATTTTTTGCGTCCTGATACTTTGGTGGGTGTTTATTAATTTGCTATGCCAATGGCGAGGGGGGGGGGCTCAGTTAGGAATACCCTCTTTCTTCATAGCCAGTATATTGAGTTGCCACGCACACAAAGAGAACCGGTGTAACAGGAATGGAAAGTCCTATAAATGGAATTCCGGGATCACATATGATTACTACAGGTTAGGGTAAGTCGGAGTATTGGGGTTAGTACTAGTATATGGGACGAATGTCACCTGTACAAAGTAATGGAAAGCGGGCTACTGTTCCTAGCGGACTATCATTTCTGTCACACCGGCCTCCTCTGTTCCGGTCGAGATTGGAACAGTATATACCGGCGCTGATGACATGTATACATTTTGATGTGAACAGGATCTGGCGTATATTATAAGGTGTGACAGTAATCTCGCTTTCTCACTCCGATCTTATCACAGTGACAATCGGGACACGTGACACTAGTAACCACTTTATTTACGTCCTTCATTTCGTTGTATCGCCACCATCTGTGACGTACATTCGTTGTCCGTAACCTTTATCCTTGCCTCAGCACGCGTATATAAACTGGAGAAACCGGAGAAAAGCATTTGCGAGGAGATAGCGGTGAAAAGCGGACCAACATCGAAAGAAACCTGCAAAAAAATTTTTTTTCAAAAACAAGACTAGCTGCGGCGCTTCAAAAGTGTCATTTAAGTAAAAATAAAAGAGTCGACAAGCAGTGGGTGAAGAATAAGGAGCTTGGAAAACAATAAAGGTAACGATGACATTTAAAAAAAATTGCAATTTTTTATCCACATGTGCGAACTAGAGATCTTCCAATATCTTTGGTTGCGATATTATTATTATTGATATTAGTACTAATATTGTTGTTGTTGATCTTAAGATTGTACAAATGGTTCATTTACATTGTACACATGTAGGATTATTCTACAGCAAGGATTTCACAATAATTACGAAAACCGTAGCTTGGTGGTAAAATGCAATTACTAATACTATTATGTGCTGTTTACTATGTATTTATTGTGGTTATTAATTTTGTATGAAGAGTTGTCATAGTTTTATTTTACCAGCAAACTTTAGTTATTATGCTTTATATCTTTAATTACTGCAAATGGTTTAACTGCATAATGTCAAACTCTGAGAGATCGGATTTCAACTTAAATTATCATTATAATGATTGTTTGTAATCTGTTCATTTTGGAAAAATAATGCCAATGTTATGATTCAATCGTTTCCATGGCAATTTTTTCTCTTGAACACTTAAACTTTTTCAATTACTGATCGCTTGAATTTCAACTACATAACTTCAAGGAAGGGTGCAAATTGATAAAGAAATAATTCAATACTAGTACCTCACTCACTCCAACATAAAGACATTCATTATATTCAGTGGAAAGGGTAACACAATAACAGAATACACAGAATTATACAAACAACGAATGTTAGACTGAAAAAAATCTATAAAGAGAAAACTCTGGTAAACATAACTTTTTTGCAGAAGCAAATACATAAAGACCAGTTCATCTCAACACCCGTGCTATTGTTCACAAGTCTTTATTAACTAATACAGTTAAAAATTGACAAGATTCTGCCCTATTTAACAATGAACCGGTAGGAATCATAGACTGTTAAAGATTTGTTACAATTGGGGTAAATGTATAAACTACCCAGGTCCTTGATCATCTAACACTGGTAGGGAGTACATGTATACCCCAGTAGAAAAACAGTTGTTGCTACTGGAGATGTAGAACCTAAAAAGAATCATAAATAACTGATACTGGTAAGGACGATACCCAGTCTAAAACATTTGTGCAGGAAGTGAAAATGTACCTTATTTGTACCATTTCGTATCTATAATAGCTGTGCCCACTTTCATGTTGGTTGGACTAAAATTTCATTCTGTGATGTAGGCCTGTCTCCATTTATGTTTTATGTTTTCTATATGTGAGACGCTTTTCATTTTAATTTATAAATAATAAATTTTGTCAGAATCCATTTTTACCAAAATTTAAACCTTATAACCTATCGCCTAAAATTTGGACGATCAGAAGCATAGAAAAAGGTCAATTGTGAAAGGCTATAGTAAATGTACCTATGTCTGTGTTCATCTCGAGGGCAAGCACGAGAACTGAAATCGCCACCTGTTACTTGGAGCCGCTACCCAGTGATCGCCGAATTCATGACTTAAGTCGCAATTTCATGGTCCGATTGCAAAAAAAAAAAAAAAAAAAAAAAAAAAAAAATTGCCGCAGCCAGTTTTTGACACCGAACGGCAAATCCCTCTCCTGCTTCGTTAATGCATGTACCGCACATATAGCGTGTGGCGTAAAAACGACATACATGTAGAAATACATTACTTTGATCTATTGTCTGTTCATAAACTTATAGTATGCGTCAGGGATCTTATCTCCCTAAATTGATATTGATCATGACGGAAAAAGCGGAGAAAACACTTTTTTACGACTTGGTGTATTCTCGCTCGAGAAAATAGAACCCGTATGCAAATAGCTGACAGACATCACATTGGTTCTCGTCTAAGAAATGGGTGCTCATGCACAACTAGTATCGACTACTATCGGACCATGACATCACGGTTAAGGAAGTTATCCAACGAGCTGTGCTTCCAAATACTGAGTAATTGCATTTGTATTTGAATCTGATGAAGGGAAGGTTTTGTAAAAAGCAGTAAAATCACTGTTGAGTGGTTATATACAGGGGCCAGTAAAAAGATGCGAAACAAAAACGTGCACCGCACGATATTTATAAAGGGGTGTAGAGAACCACGAACCCAGTTATCCCACTGCTATTTTTTCGAAACTTTGCTGGGTAAAATTTGACCTATGTACCTATGTACTCTTATGGTAAAAGGTCCTCTTTTTCAAAAAAAAAAAAAAAAAAAAAAAAAAAAACGACCCCCAGCCCTCTGAAATTGCTGGCTACAGGCCTGGCAGCATATGGTAGCCTAGCTATCTGCATCGCCTTGTCACGTCATATGGTGGACATGCCTGTAAGTACAATTTAGACGGGTCTTTTCCCGACTTACCGTAAAGACAAGGAAGGTTTCACGGGAGTGGGGTTACACTTAACGTCAGATTAACGAATGAGGTGCGATAAGGAGTGGGAGGTGACAAAAATGTCGGAGAAAAGAAAAGAGAAACCCAGCATATATTGTTTGGGTTTTTATAACGACTTTTACCGAGCAGAATATTGTACATGTTCATATAAGAATAAACAAATAACAATGAAAATGGGTATAGTAGGTTAACTTTCAATAAAATAAATAAACATGTCAGTACATCATATATCTAACTACCTCCACACAAACAGCACGATCCAATTTTCCCTCAGCATCGAACTTGGATGCCTCATCACCACAAAGCATTGGTCAAATGTCCAGGAATTATCCAGGAAATTGATACAATTACACCAGCATACGGGTGTAAATGACAGTTGATTTCATGTAGGAGTTAATAAGGCAGTTAAAGCTTCACTTACCAAGACGAAAGAACCCACTATATACACAATAATGACCTGTAATTGCATGTAGATTTGTACCACCACTATATCCGATGTTCTACTTTGCACGATCTGCAACTGTTGTTCTCGCAAGCTAATATTAAATAGAGACAACGGGATTTTTAACATTAAAATGTGGTAAACATTGTATACCAGCAAATTAAGCCGGTTGTTTGACCGTGTGCCGTGTCTGCTTTGCAATTAAGCATTTGTTTGACCCCCTGGATCTTGTCCTCTGTGTCAGCTGAAATATCTGTTAATATAGATAGAGTCTGTTCAAGTTCGCGCATTGCCAAACATGAACACTTTGGATAAACGAGGAGAAGATCTGTGCAGAATTCTTTTACACAATAACCGAACCCTCAGTTAAACTGAACTAGAATCATAATTAATTGAGCAGTTCAAGAATCCTTTACGGTGAAACAATATATATATAATGTACCAAAATTTAGTAAAATCTTCCGATGCTCCTTTATTCCATGCACACTTTTAGATTTTTAATAGTAAAACTAACTTACTTTGAATTAACTTTTTCAGATGAAGATGCTGTCTAGCATTCTGCTGAACTTTATATTTGTTGCCATAGCAACAGTGAATGGAGGTACGTCTAAACGGGTTTGATTTGCTGTTGTATATAATTAAAATAATATCAGATTTATCTGCGTGTACAATTGTTTTTGTCATCGTTTTGTTACCGTTTCCCTGTAAAATCACCAGCAATTTTATCTTTTCATCACAACTCATTCAATTTCTTCAAACTTTTAACCCGTTTAAATGGTTAAATGTTAAAAAATTTGAAAACTTTTGCAGCCTCCATGTCATTTTCGTACTCGCAAGTGCGAGCGAAGCGCTCCCTGGCGGCTCCGTGTAGCCAGTGTCCGGAGAATTTGTTCAGTGCTTCTGAGAAGGAAGAGATGCTCAACTACCACAATGAGGCCAGGAGGATGGTACAACCGCAATCCTCCAATATGAAACAGATGGTACGTACGCTGGCACATGGGCAGCTCAGGGGGGGGGTGTTAATAATTAAAATAAAAACATGTTAAGCAAAGATTTAAAAAAATGAGAAAAACTCATTTAACATTTATGGGACATTTTAGGATATTTATGCAGGGCTTTGCAGGGCATACCAGTATATCTTACTATTAACTACCGGTTCCATGGATCAGATCAGTAATGACCCCAATCAATGATATAAGTATACTGCTTAATAATACATCTAGATGTGGGACCCAGATCTGGCGGACTGCGACGGCCAAGACTACATCAACCAGTGCATCTACGCCCACGCCCACGCGGACCTGACCCCCTACCAGAACCAAGGGTGCACGTTTGACTTCGCCGGCCAGTACGTGGGGCAGAACCTCTATGTCTCCTGCAGCACCGTCAACAACAGGCCGTCTAACCTCACTGGCTTAGCTCTGCAGTCCTGGTTTAACGAGAACCAGTTTTACAACTACGCCACGGACACATGTGACACCAATAAAGTCTGCGGACACTACACACAGGTGAGGGGGGCGGGTTCAGACTGTCACGTGGCTATCACGTGGTTGAATATGTCATACTTGCAATTAATATTTAATATTAGCATTAATAATGTATCATAAGTACTTCCAAAATTTTGACTTTGTGCTTTGAAATCACATGTACCATTCACTAGCAGAACAAGGTTATTAGATGTAATCATAATTTGTGAAAGGTATCCCATTTGGCAGAAAGCTGCAGTTGTGGACTTTGAAAAATATTGCTCACATTTTGGTGATAGACTTAATTTAATGCATCAGGACTGGTGATGAATTTGTACAAACTTGAAAACGAATAGCATTTTTAAATGTTTTTACATAGGTGGCATGGGCCAATTCTTTTAGACTGGGTTGTGCGTATTCTGCGTGTCAAGGTGTTTCCCCCTGCGGAGCCCAGTTTCCATATTACTGGATCGTCGTCTGTAATTACTACCCCGGGTAAGTGCACGCGAAGCCGGCTTCCCAACCCCTGCTAATTTTTAGTAGAACGGGGAGGTGAAAAAACCAACTTTATTTCCAAACAACAAAGGGAAATTCACGTTCATTAATCATTCTGCAACGCCTTACCATCTTTACAGCAAGAGTTTATGTGCGTTCATTTTGCGACGAGAAAATCACTTTCTATATTTAACATTATACAAGATAAATACAATTGTGTACAATCTGTCTGTCTGTCTGTGTGACATCATGTCCTGTCTGTGTCATAACGCCATGTCTGTGTGACATCACGCTCTGTCTGTGTCATCATGTCCTGTCCTTGTGACATTACGTCCAGTCTTTGTGACATCAACTCCCCTCTGAGTCACCACTTCATTCTATTTGTGTGTAAACATGACCTCATATGTTTGTGTACTATTTGCACTATCATATGTTATCATATCTAAATATTATTATTATTATTATTCTATTTTCATTATTTCAGTGGCAATTATCAGGGACAGAGCCCCTATAATTCTGGCACACCCTGTAGCAATTGTCCAAGCAATCAGTATCTAGCTAACCCCTGCAATAATGGACTATGTGGTAAGTGCTCTAGCTTCTGGTATACATGTAATATACAGGTGAACAGGTGCAAGTACTGAAGAACACAAAACACTAAAATTTAGTTTATTTAAACTATTTCTTATCCCTCTACATGTACCTGTACCCGTTCCAGCATATTTCATACCCCCAAAAAAATCATCAAAGTCTATTTATAACATTCTGAGTTAGGTGCTTAAAAAATAAAAAAGACAGACGTGAAAAGATAACTTTCTTAGCGAAGATACTCATAGTATATTGCACCCTATGAATCACAGCAGTACTAGTACAGGTGTACATTTTTGTAACGTGACAGAGAGTCCCCAATGATAGAGAGTCCGCTTCCCATTTGTTTGTACAGGTCAGCCTTGCCCTATATTTTGACCCCCTTAGGCTAACCCTAACCATTATAACCAAATGGAGAGAGGAATTTCAGTTACACGGACTCCAGTTTCGCTACAACGGTAATGTCATTTTTAACGCGCCACGTACTACCGTACTGGGTAATATACTGAAGATGGACGGCGCCCTGACTCCATATTTAAAAAAACTTAACTTAATTTAGAAATAATTCATAATCTCTCCATTCCAGTCACTGAGACAGAATGTGAGATCTCCGGAGGCTGCGGAGGTAAGTAACTATGGAAACTTTTGTTGAAAATGGATTTTCTTTCCCCTTTCTAAAAATAATAATTCTGTTTTAAGGCTTGTAAATGGTTTTCATAGTCAATTGAATGGGAATAATGTATGGTTTGCCGTAGATGTATAGAGCAAAACTGCATAATATATAAAATAAACGAAAAAAAATTGACCCCTGGTTGTCACATTAAGGTCATATATTTGCAAGGCTTCGTATCAATGGCATGTTTACAGTTATCATAATCTACCTAAACTATCTGTAGGTGGCGCTACAGACGAATGTGCCGCCGGCACGCACAACTGTGATGCTAACGCAGACTGCACTGACACTGCCGACGGTTTTACCTGTGCATGCAGAGCTGGTTATACTGGGGACGGTCAGACGTGTACAGGTAAGAACTTGTACAGGTAAGAACGTGTACAGGTAAGAACTTGTACAGGTAAGAACGTGTACAGGTAAGAAGTGGTGCAGGTAAAAATCTTGTGCAGGTAAGAATTTGTACAGGTACCGGTAAGAACTGTTGCAGGTACAGTATAAGAGATTGCACAGATAAGAACTTATAAAGGTAAGAACTTGTGCAGATAACAACGTGTCAGGCACTTAGAACATGTGCAGGTAAAAACTTGTGCAGGAGAAAACTTATGCAGGTAAGAAACTGGTGCAGGTAGGAACTTCTACAGGTCAGAATATTTGCAGGTTAGAACTTGTGCAGGTTTAGATTTATTGCGGGGAAGGGATTGTTGCAGGGAAGAACGTGTACAGGTAAGAAGTTCTTCAGGTAAGAACTTGTTTTTTTCCGACTGTTGCTGAATTCCGTAAATAAAGCCCAAAAGTGAACTGCTTTTTTCACAATAACTTATCTATTTCACTTTGATAATTCTTTGTTTTTTATGAATTGATATTACACCATAACCGTCTTGCATTTGCATACTTCCAGATATCAATGAATGCACTGAAAATACCGACAACTGCCATGCAAATGCTCAATGTACCAACACTAACGGCGGCTTTTCTTGCGCATGCTCATCCGGGTATTCCGGAGATGGAGTCACGTGCACAGGTATTTAAGACAAAAATGAATTAAATGAATCAACTACACTTAGTGATTTTAGTTGGGTTAAGCATTCCAAAAAATGTGGTTTAAAATATACTTTCAGAAATACTTTGAAAAAACAAAAAAAAACTATTTAGATAATACGATTCTTCTCTGTCTTACCTTGGTAAAGTCCAATGAGCCTTAATAAATGGACAAAGCATGGCATTCCCTCACACATTCTGCAATCTTCTAGATATCAATGAATGCACTGAAAATACCGACAACTGCCATGCAAATGCTCAATGTACCAACACTGACGGCGGCTTTTCTTGCGCATGCTCATCCGGATATTCGGGAAATGGGATCACGTGTACAGGTAAATATAACCACGGTGGGAGTTGTATTATACAGGTAGATAAGAGGTTTTACTTAAAAAACACAAAAGTGTAACAAATTTATCCTGCCAAGAGTCACTACACGTTCATATACAATGTACCAGTACAACAAGAATTTTGTTTTTACTTTAAGATTTTATTGTCTCATTTTTCCGCCTTGATATTACACTCCAGCCATTCTGCATTTTTTCAGATATCGATGAATGCGCTGCAAGTGGACCCAGCCCCTGTGTCGCCAACGCTGACTGTACTAACACTGTGGGAAGCTTTACCTGTGCTTGCAGCGCTGGCTATACTGGGGATGGCTCTAGCTCGTGTACAGGTGAGTTTGTAGTCTCGGGGGATAGTTTCATTGACCGTGGTATCTCAGTGAGAAATGCAGAAGGCAGAAAGTTCTAAGCACCTGTTGGTTATTGCTGGTTACAGTTTTGAACGCTTTTACAAAAAAAAAGGAACGTAAAAAATAAGAAATAGGGTTATCCGTACACCCCGTATATAACACGTTACAATAACTGTATGTATTCATGTGTCTGGAACTCCATTTTGAATAATTAATACATACACTGTATCCTTTTTTGATTATTCATTTCACACAATTACATGATCCTTTGTTGCACCAATTTACTGATTATACATTAACCTCACAGTGGAATGGAAACCTCAGTTAAGACACTGATACATGTATGACACCTTTTTTCAGACATCGATGAATGCGCCGCAAACACCGACAACTGTGACGAAAACGCCCAGTGTACAAACACTGTTGGCAGCTTTACGTGCGCTTGTACATCCGGGTATTCGGGAGATGGGGTCACTTGCACAGGTAAATATTAACATGGATACTGTTAAGAGCTTCACTGCACACGTTTTTTAAATGTAATAACTTACTTTTTGCTGTTCCTAAAATAAGAACAAAGATGATACAAATA